TAACATTACTTTCTGGGACAACTTCTAACCCTTATAGAATATTCAGTATTTAGAAAGAAAATAAAAATGTTGTTTATATCCTGTGATATTCATCTCAACCCACAGTCTTAGAAACAATTCCAGAGATACTAGTTAAATCATTAGATTTGGGACATATTTGTAGTAAATATTTTCAGTAGCTTGAGTATTTTTGGCCTTTCACGGGAAGTGGAAAATTACATTGAATTTCATTCTGCTGTGTGCTAGACAGACTTTCACCCATTGCCCAATTTTAAATCTTGTAAACATATCCAGTAAAAAGTTAATTTTTTTAAGAAAGAAAATGTTTGAAAATATATTAGTTTTTAGCCTGATTTTGCTTCAAATAATCACTGATTTATAATGTTGTTTCTTAGGTTATATTGAGATTTGATTTCACTCCAAGGATGGATAAAGAAAAATTAAGTTGTTTAAAAAGACTGAGTAGAGTATGTTTTGAGTTTTTGTTTCCCTTCTTGTATTTCTAAGGGTGGGACATTAGGCACAGGCAAATCATCTGTTATTTGAGAGCAATAGATGATTTTAAAGGTTCCAAATATAAAAGTTTGTTACTGTTCTTTTTTTAAGACATCTTTATTTTATTTTATTTTCCTTTTTGTCTTTTTTCGTGTCGGGCAACGGATCGCAACCCTCAGTGTTGCGCCCGTACCGGACCGGGACCGGCAACGGGATCACAACCCTCGGTGTCGCGCCCACACCTCGCTCAGCCAGTGAGCAGGAACTGGTCTGTATGTGGGATCCGAACCCTCGGTGGGAGCGCCACCGCGCTCCCAAGCGGCGCACTGTAGCAGTGCGCCACCGGGCCGGCCCAAGACATCTTTATTTTTTTAGTGCCTTTTTTTTGTGTGTGTGTGTGACCGGTAAGGGGATCGCAACCCTTGGCTTGGTGTCGTCCGCACCATGCTCAGCCAGTGAGCACACCGGCCATCTCTATATAGGATTCGAGCCTCGGCGCTCCCAGTGCCGCACTCACCTGAGTGAGCCACGGGGTTGGCCCTTTAGTGGCATTTTTTTTTTTCCTTTTTGTCTTTTTTACTGACTGGTAACGGGCTTGCAACCCTCAGTGTTGCGCCCGCACCGCGCTCAGCCAGTGAGCGGGAACCGGTCTCCACATGGGATCCGAACCCTCGGCGGGAGTGCCACCATGCTCCCAAGCAGCGCACTCTCCAGTGCACCACCGGGCCGGCCCTTTAGTGGCATTTTTAATGATGCTCTTCAAAAATGGATGCCTTTAGGGCCGGCCCGGTGGCGCACTGCGCTAGTGCGCCGCTTGGGAAGCGCGGCGGCGCTCCCGTCGAGGGTTCGGATCCCACATACAGACCGGTTCCCTCTCACTGGCTGAGCAAGGCGCGGGGGCAACACCGAGGGTTGCGATACCGTTGCCGGTCCCGGTCTGGTACGGGGGTGACACTGAGGGTTGTGAACCGTTGCCGGACACGGAAAAAGACAAAAAAAAAAAATGGATGCCTTTGGTGTGTTGATTAGATTATGAAAGTTTTTTTTTTTTAAACATAGGATCTGAAATTGGATCTTCTGCATTCTATGTCATCTCAAATGGCAGTTCAATATGACTTTTGTTTAAAACTAAGTGGAAGTAAAGGGCTTATTTGGTGAAATTAATGAGAGAATCCTTTGCTGAGAAATTCCACACAGCATTAACGGTAGCATTCTTAGTTCTAGCACATAAATCAGCATCCTGCTGAGCTCTTTCCATGTAAGTTGTTTTTGACATCTAGCAGGAGAATGAACTGAGGTAAGTCACTGATATTTCCCAGAGTTGACGAATGAAAAAAACGAAGCAAATACAGTCATGCATCACTTAATGTGGACACATTCTGAGAAATTCATAGGTGATTTCTTCTTTTTTAAATGTGAAAATTGGTCTGTTTAAGTCAACTGTGTTATTCTGTTTGTGCTGCTGTAACAAAATACCTGAGACAGGGTAATTTATAAAGAACAGAAATGGATTTCTCACAGTCGTGGAGGCTGGGAAGTCCAAGATGAGAACACTGGCATCCAGTGAAGGCCTTTGCTTCGTCCTTGCATGGCAGAAGGTGAAACGGCAAGAGAAAACCAACCCCTCAGTCAAGTTCCTTTATCAGGGGACCTAATCCTATTCATGAGGAGGGGTCCTTTTGGCCTGATCACCTTTTGAAGACCCCACTTCTTAATATCACGTTGGCAACACCTGATTTCAATTTCTCTTGAATCTGCTGCTATTATTCTTACAACAAAAAATTCCCAAAGTGAGTTTTATGCATTAGTAGTTCCTTATAACTTAATCTGTTATCAAATAAGTTTGAGAAATAAAACAAGTTTCTTTAGTGTGTTAAGTTAAAGGCTTTAATACACTAATGCCTATTATGAAGCTTAGAAGAAAATCTTACTCAGATTTTCCTTATCTTATTTAATATAGTAGGCCCTCAAAATCCACAGGTTCTCCATCCACAGATTCAACCAACTGAGGATTGAAAGTATTTTTTAAAAACAAAAAATAATACAAATGAAAACAATACAGTATAACAACTACTTACATAGCATTAACATTGTGTTAGTTAAGTAATCTAGAGATGATTTAAAGAATATGACATGCATGGGTTATGTGCAAATATTATGGCATTTTATATAAGGGTCTTGAGTGTCCTGGGATTCTGGTATCTGTTGGGGGTAGGAAGAGTGTGGCTGTGGAACCAGTCCCCCACAGATACTGAGGGACAACTGTACAGTCTTTTCTCAAAAGTGTCTTATGGGACTAGAATTCTAGAGAATACCCTTTGCAACATGCTTAGGATGATTTGGGTAGTTTGGTGATAAAGGACTCAAAGAATAGGAGGAAAACACCTCTATCTGTGTTTTTGTAACTGTAGGTAAGTTATTTTTAAAAAAAGGAAAATGTACATGTTTGAGATCTTCTAAGAGTGATCTCTCTTTATTGCACCATTTATGAAGAGTAGGAAGGTAAACAAAAATCATTGCTGAATACACCTAAGGAATAATTACTGAATTGAAATTGATTTGAAAGCATCTTTCAGGTTCAATTTAACTGGAAAATAATTTTCCCTTTATTTCAGTGAGAATCTGTTTGCCTTTAATATTTTGAATTTTCATGATTTGTGCAAACCATTAAATTACAGTACATAAATTTTGCCAAATACTAATCTTCATGTATTACTGACATTGCTGTCTGAGCAATCAGCGCTGCTGGTGGAGTATAAAGACTTGAACTCTGACGTTTGTGGTCACTTTAATTATGAAAACAGCATATAGCAAAGTACATTACATGCAGATACCTATTGTGTCTTACATGCTATTAAAGCAGTGGAAGCTTTGAAAGTTTTAAAAGATCTACTTTTTCAAACCAAAAATAATTTGCTTTTACATAAACTTTTCTGTTAAATTATAAGCCAAGGCAGTCTCATGTATGGAACACTACCTCTGTAAAAAATATACTGCCATAAAAGTTGGTTATTAATTGTTTCTTGGTTCAAGTTAGTTGATTTCTTATGTATTTTCTTTCCTCCTCCTCTGCTAAATTATACCTGGTTTAAAGATATTTGGTTTAATAGAGTTTTCATCAGTTCAAAGCAAAGTCATAATGAAACGGGTTACTATAAACTGCAAACTACTTAAAATAGAGATTTTGGTACACTCAAAGTTACAGACCTACTGTTCCATGATCTACTTGTCGAATGGCATCATTCGGCAGCAGAACGAGTTATTTACATCCTCACCTCATACCAGAACGGATTTAGAGCTGCTTAGAAGACGTAAAACTTAGCAAGATCATGAAATTGGTAAAGAAAACGGAGGAAAGGGAGGCAGGAACAATAGCCTTGGGGAACGGAAAACATATCACTTGGGATTCGCTTGCGTTTAATGTGACTGGATGTGCCAGATACTATACTAGATGTTTGTATCTCTAAGATATAGCTGGCAAAAATTGTGTAATTTACGATTTGAATATACATTCATCAGTGCACTCAACTCTGGAGGACTAACGCATTTAAACACTCTCCCCCCAAACCTGTTACTATGTCTTCAATGTTTTTGTAGTGTTTCGATTAAGACTGGAGAGATTATAGACAAACTAAGTTGATTGTGAAAACCAACATCTCTCAGTGAAAACAGTGGGTTTCTCGGAATATGTTTAACTTGAATCTAATTAAAGCCTTAACAATTGTTGGCCACCGTTCTTGGAGGTAATCGAGGAGGCACACACAGAACGAGTCATTCCTCCTGGACGGTAAATACTGGTTTGAAACGCTTCCGGGAAATCGCCTGCTTTGCGGAAGCGCCCTCGGCCGGAGGGTCTGCGCGTGCGCCGGCGCAAGCGCGGTTCTCGCGGTTCGTCTCCCCGCGCGCGCCTCGGCTGGACGACTGCGCACGCGTGGCTGGTGAGTGGACGGCCGGGCGCGGAGGTGGGGCGGACCCCTCGCTGCTGAGGGGCTCTGGAGGCTGTTATGGGACGTTGCTGGCGAACGGCAGGGGAGCTGGAGCCGGCGGGGCAGCCTGGTACGCTGCGGGCCTCGTAGGGCGGTTCGGTTACCGCGGGGCGTTAAACCCCCGGGCCGGGCAGCACGTGGGGGCCTCCCTCGCTTCCGAGCAGAAACGGGACTGGGCTCGCTGTTTCCGTGTTCACCCCTGGAGGTCCAGTGAGGGCAGCTGGACGAGTGCCCGCCAGCACCCGCTGTCAGAGAACTTGGGAGGCGGGGCGCCCGCTACGTGGGGGGCGTGGAGGGGAACGGGTGGGCGCGGGCGACGCGGCTGCGCAGAGGGGCCGAAGCATCTCGGGGAGCGCAGGGCCCGCGCCGGGGCTGCTGAAGGACACGGGCCATTGGGGCCGGGCTTGGGGCCTCGCCAAGGCGGGGAGCGCGGCGGGGGAGGCTGCTCCGCGGAGCCGCGCGTCAGCCTCGAGGGCGTCTGGGCAGGGGCTGCGGCTGCGCGCGGGGCTCGTATCCGAACTGAACGCGTTTCGTTCCGGTCTGCATTGCACTGGACGTACACTTTTCCTCAGCTTGTCTTAAGAAGGTAATTTAAAAAGGATAAGTAGAATGTTAGAAAACGAGAGGAAAGGGACTGTTCTCAGGCAGGGTAACTACATATCAAAGGTGAAAAGACAATTTTAAATTTTGGCCTTTTCTAGAAGTAAGTGGGATTAAGGGTAGAATCATACAGCAATATACAGAAAGTCTGTAGAAAACAGCGAGGCCGTTCTCCGTTCACAGAGGGCGCCTCACAGACGAGCGCAGGTGCCTCCCGATCTGCAGTTCACTGCGGGGTCCGCAGTGAATCCTGGGTTACTGACCTTTCCCCCGGATCCCACTGTCTTGACCTAAATTCCTTGTAGAAGGCGACATGATACTGTGTGAAACTGCGCTGTGGTAGTTTTGCTGTAATAAATTTGATACACGGAAATGGAAGAATCGTGTGCAAAGAGGCGAACCGCAGCGCGTTAGAGCCTGCTGATCGCAGCTGATCGCGGCTGACGCTGCGCGTCAACGTGTTCGCCCCTGTCCTCGTGCGTCCCATCTCTGGCCCTCACTCTTCATCCTCTCCTCTCCCTCAGGCCGAGTTGAAATGCCGCCTGCAGTTTCACTGCTTTCCTCTTCCCGCTCAGGGTCTTCGCGCTGAGCCCACGGCACTGAATGGCGCTCATCTGGTAGATTATTCCTCTGTGTCTCTAAGGTAGGATTTCTCAGCCTCAGCACTACTGACATTCGGGGCTGGGTAATTCTTTGTTGTGGAGGGTGGGCCTGCAAATGGCAGGAATCAGCAGCATCCTGGCCTCTACCCACCAGACGCCAGTAGCCTCCCCGGTTAAGACAACCAATAATGTCTCCAGACCTTGTCAGATGTTCCCCTGTCAGAACCACGGGTCTAGAGTGTGATCCACATAAGGCCCAGGTTCAGTTCAGTGACATAACAGCACTTCCCAGCTCTTGGGGACTTGGAAATAAATCTCTTTCACAGCAATTTCATAAACATGCTTAGAAATTTCAGTTTTGTTTTGTTTGGTTTGGTGGCTGGCCAGGGTAGGGATCCAAACCTTTGACCTTGGTTTATAACATCACACTCTAACCAACTGAGCCAACTGGCCAGCCCTTAGAAAATTTAAAAATAATGAGGTTCATGTAATTTAATCTTTGGTAATGTTTATTTTGTAAACAGATTTCAACTTTTCCCTATTGAACAAGTGATGTACTTTTGAACTTACTTTAATAATGTAGGAAATAGTCCATGATTCCTAAAGTTGCTCTCCCTGTGCTCTCCACATGCTCCTCCATTGACCTTACTGTCAAATAACATTTCATTTATAGCCCCTCAGTCTTTCTCAGTTCAGCGTGCACACAAACTGATCTTTGAATTTCCAAGTGGAAATTCTACAGCCTGATAGCTCCTGTTATGCTTTCCTGAAAATGTATTTTTTGTGCTCATTGCCGTAAACTAGAATTACTAATTCCAGTTATTCATATTGTTCTTTGGTGGGACTGCTACGGAAACACCTGTGTTGACTTAATAATTTTATTTTAATTCTAAATGTATAACCTGAAAAGTAGGTAATTCATCTCTCTTTTGACTCTTACTATAGAAGTAAATATATTCTCAACTTAATTACAAACAAAACTATCAAACAATAAAATCCAAATTAACAATTTATTGTAAAAATTGCTTTGTTGCTGAGTTAGCAGACTTCTTTTGAGATTAGTATTCCTAATCTACCTTGAACTGTGTAATGAATCAGTTCTTTTACCATTTGTTACAAATGCTATTTTCTGTGCCTTACATGCCCTTTTCTCCTTTCTTTGCCTAAGTGAGAACTTATTCTTTAGATCCCAGCTTAAATATTACTTCTTTAGGGAAATCTTCCCTAACAATCAGTCATGACAACAATCCAATCTAATTATCTTAGCTTGACAGTTGATCTTCACTCACAAAGCATTTTTTCCAGTTTTTATTATTAAGGGTAATGTATATATAACATAATATTTACCATCTTACCTATTTTTAAATGTATACTTCAGTAGTATTAAGTACTTTCACATTGTTGTGCCAATATCACCACCATCCGTTCATCTCCAGAACTCTCCATCTTATAAAACAGAAGCGCTACACCCATCAGAGAACTCCCTGTTTTTCCCTCCCTCCAGTCCGTGGCAACCACCACCCCACTTTTTGTCTCCATGAATTTGACTACTCTTGGCGTCTCACATGAAGTATGACTCGCATGCAGTATTTGCTTTTTATGACTGGCGTATTTCATTTCATCCATGCTGTAGAATGTGTCAGAATTTCCTTCCTTTTGTGGGCTGAATAATATTCCATTGTATGTATATGCCACATTTTGCTTATCATTTATTATTTTAAATCATGTAGAAAACAAAAAGTGGAGTTACAAACATAAGTTACAATAATACCAGTTTTTATAATTAACCATGTGTTGTTTACCTTTACTGAGATCTTTATTTCTTCATATGGCTTAAAGTTACTGTCTAGTGTTTTTTCATTCCAACTTGTAATACTCCCTTCAGCATTTCTTGTAGGACAGAACTTCCTAATCTTTTGTTTATCTGGGAATATAATATTCCCTCACTTTTGAAGGACAGTTTGCCAGATGCAGGATTTTTGGTTGGTTTGTTTTTGTTTTTTCTTTCATCACTTTAAGTAAATCAGCCCACTGAAGTTTCTGATGAGAAATCTGCTGATAATGTTATCGAGCATTCCTTGTATGTGACAAGTCATGTCTTCTGCTGCTTTCAAGATTATCTATTTCTCTTTGGCTTTTGACAGTTGGGGTATGTGTCTCTGTTTCTCTTTAATTTCATTCTACTAGGAGTTTGTTGAGATTTGTGGATGTTTATAGTCATGTCTTTCACCAAATTTGGGAAGGTTTTGGCCATTATTTGTTCACATAATCTTTCCGTCCCTTTCTCTCTCTCTCTCTGTCAGTGCATATGTTGGTTCACTTGATGGTGTCCCACAGGTCCCTCAGCCTCTGTTCACTTTTCTTCAGTCTTTTTCTTTCTGTTCTTTATACTTAATAATTTCAATTGTCCTGTATTCAAATTTGCTCTTTTTTTCTGCCTGCTCAAATCTGCTTTTAATTCCTCTAGTGAATTTTTCACTTCATTTATTATACTTTTCAACTCCAAAATTTTTATATGGTTTCTTTTTATATATTCTTTCCCTTTATTTATATTTGCACTTTGTTCATACATCATTTTCTTGACTTTCTCCATATCTAACTTTAGTTCTCTGAGCATCTTTAAGACAGTTGTCATAAAGTCTTTGACTAGCAGGTCCACCATCTGATCTTTCTCAGGGAAGGTTTCTCTTGATTCCTTTTTTTCCTTTGAATGGGTCATATATTCCTGTTTCTTTATATGCCTTGTCATTTTTTTGTTGAAAATTATACTTTTGAGTATAATAACGTGGTAGCTGAAAGCCAGATTCTGCCCCCTCCCCAGGGTTTGCTGGATTTTTGTTGTTGTTGTATTTTTTGGTTTTTTTGTAGGCTGCCTCTTGCCAAAGATCAGCCTCAGTTGTAAACTTATGGTCTTCTTAGGTCTTTTCTGAGCCTACACCTTTCCCTGGGCATGTGTGGTGACTTTCTAAATTCCCGTATATTTGCAGTGGCTTTTGAATGTCCAGCCCTTAAATGTCTGGCCCCCAAAAGGGGGGAAAAAATGAAAGCAGGTGGCAGAAGGTGCTCTGGCCCTTTAATTCACTTGGCAGTCACTTTAGCTAGAGGGAAAGGGGCTTGCAACAATGGCTACCACCCCTGTGTTTGTAGCTCCACAATTAGAAGCAGCAGTCAGAACACAGATTACGAAAATAGTTGAGGAAGGACAGGGTCCTTATTGCCCACCCTGGCTCCTGTAAGTTTCACACATGCTGCTCCTGGAACACATGCGCAACTAAGCTGTCCCTGGAACTGTTTTGTGTTTTCTTAGATTTTATATTTGTCTATTGGCATCCATTATTTACAATTCCAAACAAATTGCCAAAGGTGTTTACATCTTCCCTTTAAGCTATTTCTCACAGGCACACAAAAGTAGTATCACAAACTTCCCAATTGTAAACTGTAGAATGTGTGTTTTTGCTTCCTGTCCAATAGGGAATGTGTCTACCTAGTTCCTTTCCACTACCTGAGCCATAAAGGCATTGTCCCAGTTCCTCTCTGTGCTTCTTGGTCTCTGCTTGTGACAAGGTCTCATGTGGCCCCAAGTGGCAGGTCCCGCCTTTCATTTCTAGGGGAACTATGAGTAAAATTAAACTTTTCTTTTCATTACAAAAAGATATGGAGGTGGCAGTGACACCTCCATATCCTCACATCAGTCACCTTCACAAATTTTAAGACCCAGGCATGAAACAGGAACACAGGCACAGCTGTTTGCGCTGGGGCCGGAGGGTGGAAGATAGGTAGTCTCTGCTGAGCTAAGAACAGAAATTGAAATCAATCACAGTTAACTATCCGAGGCTTCCAATAGACTCTAGAGTTCCAAAATAGTTACATGAAACACATTCTGCCAAAACAGTAATCTAGGTGGGGAGATAGATTCCCGTTGCTTCAATCTCACCATCTTCCCAGAATCCTCTCCTCTAATAATTTTTATGTACTCTCTCACCATTCATTCCCATGGATGCCACTTGGACACTGTCAACCTCCAAAACAGTCTCACCTCTTTCTGACTACGTTATTTTCAGGCCATAAACTGATGGATATGCTACATGGGTGTTTGACCACATTACTGATTAAAATTTAGAAAGTGATTACTGTATTTTATCAAATCTGAAATGCTGTGATTTGTAAGGATGTACCATCACTTTAGGAAAACATGCTGACAAATTTATATACCATCATTTTAAAGTTACATCCTAATTTTAGAATTGTTAAAATGAGAAAAAGACGTATATCTTGGAATCTGAGAATATGATGTATGCAACAAGTAAGTCAAAGCCAAAATTAAATCCTGCTCACTGATGGTGGCATTCATCATGCTTGGCAAATTTCCTATCACACTTCATATTACCTTTAAGTTATTGATTTCCTGTGGTCCAGTTTCACTCATTCCCTTTTCTACCCTGAACTTGTCAATTGACTGCTTTCTGTAAAGTGAACAACCATTAAGAAGTTACTAAAGTAACTTGTCTAGTAGTTATCATGGGTCCCATATTGCCAATAATATACTGCAACCTCAAACTGTAACAATGGGTAACATTTGTGTTCCTGTTACGTGCCAAGGACTACTATAGGCAATCTGTAGCCACTAACCCATTCATCTCACAATAACTCAATGAAGGTTAGAAAACGGAGGCACAGAGAGATTGAATACTTGCTCAAAATTAGGCAGATAGTAAGTGGCAAAGCCATGATTCTTTTTTTTTTTTTTTTCCTTCTTGTCTTTTTTCGTGACCGGTAACAGGATCGCAACCCTCGGTGTCGTGCCCGTACCGCGGCCAGCAACGGGATCGCAACCCTCGGTGTTGCGCCCGCACCGCGCTCAACCAGTGAGCAGACCAGTCTCTATATGGGATCCGAACCCTCGGCGGGAGCGCCGCTGCGCTACCAAGCGCCGCACTCTACCGAGTGTGCCACCGGGCCGGCCCAAAGCCATGATTCTTAAACCTGGGTAATTTGGCTCCAGTGTCCAAGCTCTTAATACTATATCATACTGCTTTTCTGA